CCCATCCTGTCCTTGGTCGGACGGCGGCCACCTCACCCCGCTCACCGCGGTTAGTCAATGACGAGTGGGTCCTGCTGACCGTGGGGCCCGTCGGTCGGTGGGAGGGCAAGTTATGTGCTGCGATGTGGCGGTGCGGGGCGGGGGCAGGCGAGGTGTGTGTGTGTCGTGTGTGCGGGGCGGGGGTGGGGATTATTTTAGTCCGCGGTTTTATTCCGGCATTTAAAAGGCCCGGCCACCACGCCGTGGCCTTGGTTCGTCTCCACGCCCCCCATATTTCCCATTCCTTTCCCTGCCCTGCTCCCACCCACATCTCCACCTCCACCCTCCTCCTCCTCCCTCTCCATCCACTCCACCGGCGCATCGGGGGTGTCTCCGTCTCCGTCCGGCCGTCGTGGTTTTCTTTCTTCCCGGGCTAGGACGCACGCACGCGCGACATGGCCGCCGCAGCTGCCGCCGACGACGCGGTCGCCGCCGACATCATCTGCTCGCTGCGCGGGGCCGACCTGGCCGGGTGGACGCCGCCGTGGAGCAAGCGCGCGAGGCCGATGGAGGGTGAGCTGTCCTGGCCGGCCGTGGCGCGCGGGAAGCGCTCGCGCCGCCGCTCTCCGGCGTCGTCGTCGGCGACGGCGGCGGGGAAGGCGAGGTGCGCCCGGTCCAGCCCGGCGTCGCCGCTGGACTACAGCGCCGGCTCCGCCTCCCTCCGTTCCGGCGCGTCCACCAGCGGCGGCGAGGACGGCGCCTTCTGCTCGCCGTGGCACCGCCGCGCGGCCACCGCGCCGGCGACTACGACGAAGGCGACGAAGGTGCGTGCGTTCATATCCATCCATCCATCCACGCCCACGTCTCCCACGTCCCTGCCGCCGCCCCCCGCTTTGCTTTGGGTTCTTCTCCCTCCCCCACCACCAGCGTCTCTCTCTCCTATCTCTGCGCTTTCCTTTCTTTGGTTTCTTTTTGCCCTTTTCGATTTTTTACCCTGCCGCATGACGAAACTGCCCCTACTACTGGTCAGCAGCTGCAGCAACCAGCAAAGATCCCTTCCCGTCTTCGTGATTTGAACACCGCCTTTTCCACCGTCTCCATCTCATCTCCTCCTCCTCATTTCACACCATTTCAATCCCCTCTCGCTTGGCCACGTTCTGCTCCGGGGATCCGCATTGGTTCGCGCCTATCACCTCGGTTCTTCCTCCTCCCGAATTCCTACTACTTCAGTTGCAAAACCATTGCCAGTTCCAGGACAAAAAAAAGCCATAAAAGAAGAAACCGAAATTCAGCATCTTTTTCCCATAAGTGCGTGCGGATTTGCTTATGCTGGAGTGATGCACGCAGCAGTTGACTCCTAGTACGGGCGAAGGGGGGGCAGTTCGGGGAACTCGCGGTGCAGCCGGTGGGTGCGGCCGGGGCTTCAATTCGGCATTTCTCCACGCGACCATGCCCTTCCGTATCCCCGAGCTACCCCTCGGCTCCCTACAGCGTGGGGGCATTAAAGCGAGGGGCCTCGTGGGGGGCAGCGTGGTCATTTTCCCATGTCCTTTATCCCCCGGTGCAATTGCTCGTGTGGTGGGAGCCTGCAGGGTGTGGTCCCCACCCGCCACCCCCCTTCTCTGGTGTTGAGTGTACGCAGAGTCAAAAGCGCCGAGTTAAAACCCGGGATCCAAGTGGGTGGCAGGATCGATGGCGTGCATAGCATAGGCCACGCCGCTGCTACCCCCGTGGCCGGCCGGCGCCGCCGTGCTTGTGATCGACGGGGCGTCCCGTCGGGTAGTTTTCTCCTGTTTGCCTTTTGCGGGGAGCGAGGGCCCGCCGTGGCAGTGGGCTTCCTGGATGGATGCCGATTCCCGAATAGGGACGGCGACTTCTGTTATGGCGTTTGCGTCGTGTGGTGGCTGGTTGCGCCGGCCGATGGCGTTCCCTGCCTGACCAGAAATGGGCCATGTAGATGTGGTAACGTCGGTCGATACGGTCGAAGAAGAAGTGGCCGTATTTAAAAAATATATTTTTTGTGATGGTTCGTCACTCATTCGCGTGCCTCATCATGCTGTTGCGTCGGTTCAAAAAAAAAAAAATCTGCTGTTGCCTGATTGGCGAGCGGGGGTAATTTTTTTTTTGGAACGGGAGCAATATCTTAAACATTTTTTTGTCAGAAAGGAAGTGTCTTCGAACTATTCATTTCAATCGAAAAAATAGCAATATCTTTACTCCTAAGCATGCTTTGTGTTGTGTTGTGTGTGTGTGTGTCTCCCCTGTGATGCGTGAATCGGTCTCGTGTCCGTCCGTGATGTGTTGGGTCGAGGCAGCTGTGGCCTGTCGTTCCATCCTCCAAGTTGGAGTGTGATTCGCTGCTCATTGATTGGTTTGGTTTGGTTGCTTACAACTGCTCACTACCCCTCTCTGCAGGTGGGCTCCATCCGACGGCCGCAGTTGACCTTCCAGGCCCCGCCTCCACGGCCCGCAGGTCAGAGGCAACGGAAGAAAATGGTGAGCTCCTTCATCAAATACGTAACAATTACCGTACCGGATTACGTGGTAAATTATTTCATGGTGTACATGCATATCATGCGTGGTGTCCTGCACTCGCAGTGGAAAAGTATTACGACTGTGTACGTACGTAGGTACGCGCCTTGTTTTACCGGTCTCGCTCGGCAAAAAGAGAGAGGGGCTGGCCTTGACCCGGCGGCGAGTGCCACGCCACTAGTCGTCACAAGGAAAAAGGCCGTCGTAGTGGTGGTTGAACTACATCTGTGTACGTACTACTAGTTTAGATTTTAGAATAAAGCAGCAGAGCAGCAGCACATCTCGGCCTGCCGCCCGAAAGGGTGTGATGAGGGCCGAATAAGAAAGGGGGAATCTTAGGGCCAAAGCCACAAAAGCTGTACGTACTAGCCAAAAAGACCTGCTTCATCACCAAGATAGCCCCGTGACCAAAAAGCACAGGAATATAGCGCCAGAAATACATCATTTTGGGTCTGTTTCAGTGGCTTAATTTGTAGCAGCACTGATGATTGGTTACTGCCGTGATTTGCAGAGGCTGCCGGAGGTCCAGCAGCTGGTGCGGTCGCTCGCCGTGGAGAACGAGAGCCTACACGAGGTGATGATAAGATTTACTGATCTTTCTAAAAATTTACGCCTTTTGTCTGAGCTCGCTACAGCCGGATTACTAAACAGAGCGTTGGAATTTGTTTTTGGATTTTGAGCAGGAGATGCGGGAACTGCAGAGGGCTTGCTCCGCGCTGTCGAAAGAAAATGACAAGCTTGAGGTGAACTTTCTTATCTGTTTGCGCTCTTCTTTTTCTGTCCCAGATAGGGTGCGTGGGCCGCCAACGAACGGGTATCTTTCCGGCGGAACGGCTTATGAAAAATGCATCCTGTTTTGTTCTAGCTCTAGCTTAAAGCATAAGTCTGGAGTTTTATATTGTTATGGCATGGGAGCTTTGTATGCCTCCCAAGTTAGTGGTCCATATGGTTCCCGTTGATCGTTTTGTAAGCGCTTTAGTTTGTAGGCTATCCCCGCCTAAAGATGCTGTAGGGTGTACAGGGTGTTGGTTTGGTGGCTAGTGTCTTTTTTTCATTTCATTGGCCATTTGTTTCTGTCTTTTGTTGAATCTTTTTCACGGCTCGATCATATGGCTAATGGGAATTTTACATTGTTATTTGGTGGAGATTTCTCTATTTTCTTTCTGAATAACTTTTTTTTGAAATTTTCTGAATAACTTTTGGTACTACTGTACTGTAGGCAATGACCTGTTCAGTTAATAACTTCATATCCAGCCAACAGTAACTCAATAGAGGCAACCACAGATCTTTGTTTAAATGCCATGATTACCTGGCTAGACAAGTGTCCGATTTCTGATTAAAATGGCGCTGTCATTTCCATTCACTCCAATGATTCTTTTTTTTGTACCAAACACGTCCTGGTCTTTTCACTGTCTCTTTCTTTCTTTGCCTACATTCATGACCAGGGAATGAGATCCAGTGCCTTGCTGTGAGCAAGGCACCGATGAACCATGACCAGTCCTTGCTAGTAGAAGTGGATGCCTTCTTTTGGCTATTAATGCGCATCCTAAGTGATAGATAATGCCTGATCAAATTGTTAGCGACTAACTTTACAGGACTTGACTGTAAGTCATCTCAAAGTCGGGGCTGATCTTGAGGGTTTAATTCCCCAAAACAGGGAGTCCCCAAAACCAAATCGGGATTTTTCTTATTTGGAATAAAAAAATTGTACCCTTGCAAACAAAAAATGCCTAGCTAAGTGATGACTGAACAGTCATAGCGAAATGTCCTTAAAATAATGTTTTTCAGCGGTCCCCTTTTGAGACAGTGGCCGCATTTGATAGCTGGATTCATAACGTTGGAAGGACTTGTGTGCGCTTAAGTCGCTGTAACTTATGCAAAACATAACCAACTATGTCGCACATGTAGAAGCCACAAATTCTAAAAACGGTAATCATTCAACAGTGGCATTGTTTTAGGGTGTTTGTGCATACAACACACTACCAACAAAAGGAACTACTTCTTTTACGTTTTTAAGATACCAGAGCCCACTTAACTCCATTTGATTCAGTTCAACTGTAGTTGCAACCAACTCTGCAACTTGGATTTAAGGGTATTTCGGCCATTTTAAATAGGAGTTGGTGCTGGTCCCTCTTTACAATAAGAGAAAACTGGTAAAAAGAAAATTGATAGTGGAAGAGAGACTCTCCAGGAGAAACCTTGATAGTAACTTGTTCTCTTGAATAAGTTACCCCTTTTCATGCGTATCGTCATAAGTTCTCTTAGTAAAAAAAAACTTTTTGGGCCTATTGATGTGTATTTCATGCTGATTAATTCCTAGACCTTGCGTGGTGATCTTGGGGGGTGTCCAGTGACCATCTTATTTTCTCATCTGTGGCATGTGTGGTAGGTGTGGTCTCCATCCCTATCCCTAGTACACGAGCCACGTTTGTTTGGTATGTTGTAGCTGGCTTGGCCTTTCCCTAGTACACGAGCAGACGCGGTATTTGTAATAGGAAAAGTAATGGCTACACATTATCAAAGCACTCAATGCATATACATCCAAGGAAGCTGTGGTTTATCCTTGTGCTGGTCTTGTAGATTTGAAATCATGGGACCAATGCTTTTCTAGTAAAAATTAGTCAATGGTAGTCAATGAATGGCCCCAATTTCCTTTGCTATTTTATTCTCACGTCGCTGTTTATGAATTCTTATGTACTATATATGCAACAGGTGTGAAAGATACATGTAAACATGCTTTCTCCCCTTCCATCCTAATAATTTTGTCTGTGCTGTGATATAGGCACATCTAACAAAAAAAAGAATCTTGGCATTGTGCAGATAAGAATAGAGCAATCCAACTCACGGAATGAAGCCACATTGAAGGAGCAGAAGGGAAAGCAGCAGCTTGATCAGCAGCAGCAGCAGTCCCCACATGACAGCTTCGCGCTACCAGATCTCAACCTTCCTGCGCAGGACGGTGCTGATGGGTCAGTCCCTTGTTGAGCGGCTCCAGACCACCACCGCGGCTTCGCTAACCGAATAACAAAGTGTACATAGATGTAGCAGGCTTAGCTAGACGTGGAGGGGGCACGGGACGGGAGTGCCATCTAAAGAAAAGAATGGCACGGATTTCATAAGTTTTTAGAATTTTTACAGGGTCAGGTGTCACTATCCTGAGTGACAAGGTCAGGTTGTAGCTAAACAAAATGACTAATTTAGCTCATCTGCTAACTGTTTCTTACCTACCTACTAGTGCTTCTATGAGGGGTGGCACAGATCAAACCGATTCACACTGTGTAGCCGATTTAGATGCGTTTATTCATGTTGCTTTGTTACAAGTGATGATGGAAATGTTGTCTGTGCAGATTTGGTTACTGTATGAAGTAAATGATCGCTTGTTCTATCTTTCTTTCTGATTTTGGCGAATGGCCTTACGTATGTGGCATGGGTGTACTTGGTTGTTGCAATACCAAATCAGGAAATGCTAAGTTTTTCCATTTGAATGAGGTTTCTACAGCCAAAGCACCACACTGAGCATTGCTAAGCCATACAGCAGCGAAACAAATGCACTTGGACGATAAATTTCGCAGAAAATAGATGAAGAATGGGCATCGGCGTATCGCATTGATAATATCCCTTGTCAAGGCTTGCCATCTTTCTTGCTCAGATCAATGGAGATCTGTAATCCGCTGCTCAACAGAAGCCTTCCCGATAGCATCGATCACGGGACCTGATAGACAAAGGATTTTGGGGTTATAGGCTTCGACACCTCTAGGGGTCGGCCTCTGTAACATATATATAACAAGAGGGTACCTCATCGGGTACAAATACAACATGTACTAAGATTACAATACGTACAAGTCTATGAGTCTAACACCCTCCCTCAATCTTAACCATGGTCTGAAGAATTCAGAAGATTAAGATTGCGACGACAACCCTCAAACTGAGGTAATGGCAATGGCTTCGTGAAGATGTCGGCAAGCTGGTCCTTTGATGGAATGAACTTGATCTGAAGCAACTTCTGTGAAACTCGTTCTCTGACAAAGTGATAGTCAACTCCAATGTGTTTCGTTCGAGTATGAAATACCGGATTTGAAGAAAGGTACGTAGCACCGATGTTGTCACACCAAAGAACAGGTGGATGACGCTGAGGGACTCTCAACTCTCGAAGCAAGGCCTGAACCCAGATAAGTTCAACAGTGGCATTGGCAACTGCTTTGTATTCAGCTTCAGTACTACTACGAGACACTGTAGCTTGTTTATGAGCACTCCAGGCGATCAAGTTAGGACCATAGAACACTGCATATCCCCCCGTGGATCGCCTGTCATCAGGGCTACCAGCCCAATCTGCATCAGAGAACGCGAAAAGACTACCGGAAGGGGCAGGCCGAAGGTGCAGACCCAAAACAGCAGTCAACCGAACATAGCGCAGAATACGTTTCACAGCAGTCCAGTGAGTGTCCCGAGGAGCATGAAGAAACTGGCAGACGCTGTTCACCGCATAAGAGATATCAGGACGAGTAATCGTCAAGTACTGTAAGCCACCAACAATGCTGCGATACGTTGTAGCCTCATCCGAAGGAAGAAGAGTACCATCAAGTGCAGAGAGTCTATCAGAAGCTGTCATGGGAGTGGAAGCAGGCTTACACTGAAGCATACCAGCACGACGAAGCAAATCCAGAGAGTACTTATGCTGAGTAAGAGTCAGACCGGCATCCGAATGAGAAACCTCTAAGCCAAGAAAATAATGGAGCCGACCAAGATCTGTAATGGCAAAATCATCACTCAAAGCAGAAACAAGCCGATCGGCAGCAAGAACCGACGAACTGATCAAGATGATGTCATCAACATACACCAACAGGTACATAGTGACCGTAGGGCGTTGTAGCATGAACAAGGAAGTATCAGCTGTCGATGGAACAAAACCATGTGCACGGAGAGCAGAAGCAAGACGTGCATGCCAAGCACGTGGCGCCTGTTTGAGACCATAGAGAGCCTTGACCAAACGACACAAATGCTGTGGATGAGTAGGATCAACAAACCCAGGTGGCTGACGCATATAGACCTCTTCATCAAGAACATCATGCAAAAAGGCATTCTGAACATCGAGCTGTCGAAGTGACCACCCACGAGTAACTGCAAGAGACAAGAGCATGCGAATAGTCGTCGGCTTGATCACAGGACTGAAGGTATCATCATAATCAAGACCTTGACGTTGTTTGAACCCACGAGCAACAAGCCGAGCCTTATACCGTTCAATAGAGCCATCAGCATGTCGCTTAACTTTGAATACCCATTTAGAATCAATTATATTGACACCACTGTGCGGAGGAACAAGACGCCACGTACCATTTTTGAGCAATGCTTGATACTCTTGTTCCATTGCAGATCGCCAGTGAGGAATACCCAGAGCTGCTTGATAATGACGGGGTTCAGCAGAAGGATCAGTTGCAGAGTGAGCTATACAGGCCGCGAGCCAGGCAACCGTGCCATCGGTGCGTTGAAGCAGTTTGAATATACCACTCTTGCTGTGAGTGTGTGGTCGCGGAGCAACCTGAGCAGTTGGCGCGACGGAGATCTCAGGAACCGTCGATGAAGTGGCCTGCGTCTCCTGAGAAGAAGGTATTACAGGAGATGGTGCCCGCGACACTGACGAACCGCCAGGAGGCGAGGCAGTAGGTGCGGGCGTCGCCGAACAGGAGGAGCCAGACGCGTCCGTAGGCGCGGGCGATGCAGGCGAAGCCGACCCGGTGGCAGGCGAGGCGAAAACCGGCGACGAAGGGAGCTCCAGCCGAGCCAGGGCCGGGCGCGGAGCGGGTGTGATGAAACCCGACCCTGCATGACCCATGCAGGGGGAAGCGGGCGCAGGATCAATGCGATCCGGGGAGTGCGGCTCCACTGCGACCGAAGCGGGATCCGGGTGGCTGGCGGGCGCGGGTGCAGGAGACCCTGCATGCGCCATGCAAGAGGGCACAGTGGCCGGATCGACGTGATCCGATGAAGAAGCCATCGGAGCAGGGGATGAATCCTCAAGGAGAACAAGCCGAGCACCTCTACCAGTTCCTGCACCATGGTTAGACAACAAAAGAGGCGAGTGTGCAGCATCTACAAATTGATCAGGCAATAAAGGAGATGAATGCACAGGTTCAGTTGGTGTGATCACAGGAGTTGGAAGATTAGAGAAAGGAAAAACATGCTCATCAAAAACAACATCACGTGAAATATATACACGATTTGTTGGAATGTGAGGGCATTTATAACCTTTGTGCAACGGACTATACCCAAGAAAGACACATTTTTTAGAGCGAAACTCAAGCTTTCGATTATTGTAAGGACGGAGATGCGGCCAACACGCACAACCAAAAACTTTGAGAAAAGTGTAGTCAGGAGTCTCATTAAGCAAGAGTTCTAGTGGAGTTTTCATGCCAAGAAGTCGCGACGGAAGTCTGTTGATGAGAAAACAGGCAGTAGTGAAAGCATCACTCCAAAAACGAAAAGGAACAGAGGCATGAGCTAATAAGGTTAAGCCGGTCTCAACAAGATGACGATGCTTACGTTCAGCTGAACCATTCTGCTGATGTGTATGAGGACAAGACACACGATGCGAGATCCCAAGTTTCTCAAAGAAGGAATTCAAATTGCGGTACTCACCCCCCCAATCTGATTGTACATGAAGAATTTTGTGTTGTAGGAGACGCTCAACGTGTGTTTGGAACTTAAGAAAAACATCGAACACATCAGACTTATGTTTAAGAAGATAAATCCAGGTAAAGCGACTATAAGCATCAATAAAACTAACATAGTACTCATGACCACTAACAGACATCTGAGCAGGACCCCAAACATCTGAAAACACAATCTCAAGAGGAGTTTTCACTACATGACTAGAAACAGAAAAAGGTAGCTGATGACTTTTTCCCTGCTGACAAGCATCACAAACTGAGACATCTTTATTACTAGAAACTGACGGTAACTCATGGCGGTGAAGAATATGTCGAACAATGGGTGTAGCTGGATGACCAAGACGAGAGTGCCATTGTGCGGGAGATACTCGAATAGCACTGAAGACTTGAGGGACAACTGGGGAGACAGATCGCGGCACATCAAGAGCATATAGTCCATGACGAAGACGCCCTCTAAGAAGTACGTCCTGTGTGGCCCGGTCCTTGATAAAAAGATGAAACGGGTGAAACTCACAAAACACATTATTGTCATAAGTAAGTTTAGGTACGGAGAGTAAGTTTCGGGCAACAGTAGGAACTCGAAGAACATTTTTAAGACGCAACTGTCGAGATGTATGTGTGAGGAGAGATGCCTGACCAATATGAGAGATGTGCATACCTGCCCCATTTGCTGTGTGAACCTTGTCAGGACCATGGTAGGCCTCCCGAATAGCAAGCTTGTCCAGTTCATTCGTCACGTGCTCTGTGGCGCCAGTGTCCATGTACCAAGTGGGATCAACATTATACGATTGAGTCTTTCCTTGATGCTGCGTCATGTTGACTTGTCGCTCATTGCCCTTGCCGTTGTTGCCAAGACCGAGAAACTCAGGCTGAAAACGACGGTGACAGCGAGATGCAACATGGTGAGGAATTCCACATAGCTGACAAGGGGCAACAGCTCCATAAGCAGCACAGCAAGCACATGGGCGCCCGTTCTCGACGACAATAGTAGGACGCGATTGGGAGGAAGCAGCCGTAGGAGCACCACCCTTGCCTCCCATAGGAGGAGTTGAAACAGGCGAAGGAGCAGCAGGGCGAGCACCAGAACGCCCCTTCCCACCACGAACAGCAGCGTTAGCCGAGGGGGGCTCATCTGGATGACGACTGGCAAGGCGTTGCTCTGTTGAGAGGAGGCGCTGGAAGAGTTCTTGCGGCTTGATGGGAACCTTGCGTTCCTGGATCACCTCCACAAGAGAGTCATACTCGGCATCGAGACCTTGGAGAACATATGTGGTGAACTCTGTGTCACAAAGTGGCTCGCCGATGGAGGCTAGCCTGTCGGCGAGGCGTTTGATCTTGTTGAAGAAGACGGTGACAGAGTGATGATCCTTGCGAGTCTCATTGAGTTGTGCACGAAGAGACATGTGCTGCGACGAGGATTGTGCGGAGAAACTGGACTCCAACGCATCCCATACTTCATGAGACGTGGTAGCAAATAACACCAAGCCGGCGACGCCCTCGGTGAGAGAGGACTG